ACACCATATCTATAGTGCTGCGACCCGAACGCAATCCACACTGCTATCCCACCACGTTAGGCTCCACGACCTGACTGACGAGACGGCTGAGCAGGATTCTGGCAATCACCTTGCCCACACAACTCAGCAAGTTGATGCCACGATAATTCGTGCGACATTGCTTGCTTCCTTTGACTTTGTACAGTGGTAGCACAAGGGCATGCTTCAAGTCAGTCGGTACTATCTCTTCAATTCACATGCGTTGCACCAAGTGGTGTGGCGCAGGCATCAGAGCGAGTTCGTCGTATTTCAATACTTTTAGCGGGATCCCTTTGGCACCGGCACACTTGCCATTTCCTAGCTGAGCAAGTGATCTCTGCGTCTCATCCAGTGTCGGCATGTCTGCCAGACTCACCTTCACCTCGTGCTGTTTCAGGCTATTCGAAGTAGACCAGTCTATCTGAACGATGGTAAAAGAGAGAGTCAAATTTATTTCGCCGCATCTGCATTATGTCTGCCTTCTGTATGCAGGTGACACCTGAAATTGGATCGAGCAGCGTCGTCAGCGGCTATAACTTTGGTCCATACACCGCTTTCAAGGAGCCAAATTCCTTATGCTGGCAACCGGTTAGTATCACGTTCACTGACGAACCACAGATGGATTATATTACTGCTTTTACTCCTGCTATATCTACTGGCTATACTGTCTCTGCTGTTCAACATCCACACAGATCGTCCCACGTCCCGTTCCTTGGCTGCACCTATTTCTTCCCCGGTCACCGTCAACAACAGCTCTATGGTCGCATCTGACAGAGTTCTGAGCCGAACTTTGGTGTTCTTTGCCCGGTGGTCACAACATTCACACACTCCACCGAAGCCCACGCGTTCCTTGGACCTGGCTCTCCATTCGGCGTTGCTGCTTTCATTGTGTGCACTGTGATGCAGATCGGACGACAAACATGCCTGGCTCGCACCCTTGAGACACTCCCACTGGATATCTGTTGCTTTTTGGAAACCAGGTTGCAAGAGGCCAATACTGTCATCACAACGACCTTTCCGGCAAATCCTGACGTCAAATACCATTTGCGCCTTTCCGGAGACCCAGAGGCCGTCGCTTCTGCCCAAGGTGATGTCTGAGATGCGCTGGGTGACAGGGCTGAGGCCGCTTTGCTTGACTGGATCCTAGTCAACATTCGGCTATGTGGAGCCAGGCTACGAGGTTCATATACGTTAAGTAAGCGTCGAGATGTTACGCGTGTCTTCTTTGTCATCTCCGTCTACGCTCCTACAGACTGCAGCCCGGATACAGTCAAGGATTGTTTTTACCGACAGCTGCATGACATTCTGCGTTCTTCAAAATAGTCTGACATTGTCATTCTTACCGGAGGTTTTAACGCAAGAGTGGACCGCCTGCCACCAAGCGAGCACCATCTTGGGGGCTGTTTTGTCCTCGGTAGCAGTCGATCAGTCAATGTAGACAGGCAACGGACTCTTTGTACTAATCCTCGTTTGTTTCTTCCGAGCACAAGTTTTCGGCCCTCGAAAAGACAGACTGCTACATGTCGTCCTTCTCAAACGCAAGAGTGGTCCCAGCTCGACTACATAGCAATAAGCTACAGATGACGCGGAAGCGTAACCGATTGCCGATGGTACTGGTCAGCCTGTCTGGACTCTGATCACGCACTGGTTTGCGCCAACCTTTGCATGTGTTTCGGAGGATGACCCAGACGTACGCACTACCGACCGAACGTGAAAAATCTGCAACATCCTGCGATGTTAACCAAGTACCAGGCTTCTCTGTCAACACTGCTTGCTTTATCCTCTGACGATGATCTCAATTCGCAATGAATGCTCATCAAAGACGCTTTAATTTCTGCAAATACTGTCAGTTGTGTAGTTGCCTGTCACCCACCGAGAAGCTGGATCACCACTGCCTCCTTGTCGCTGTTAGACAGACGCCGCTCGGTCCCAGCCTTCATCAGCTGTAGTGAGAAACGTCGATCGCTGGATCGAACGTTATGTAGAAGCTTACAGAAAGATCGTGGGACCTGGTGGTGTGAACGTCTTAGACAGATGGAACCTGCATATCGCTGGTAATACCATAAAACTGTTCCACCTTATCCGAGTCACCGAAGGCTTCCGAGCTGGAGTAAGGGAAACAATCTGCGACGAGGATGGTTCCCTAATCACTAATCTTCAACGACGGTTGGAGTATTCCTGCATCTGTTTCCCCTGGGTGCGCGCACTTGTGCTGAGTGCACTATCCCTACTGATCCTCCCTATCAACGGGAAATCCGACAGGGAACTCTGTTGTCTAAAGAATTGTACCGCACCCGGCCTTGATAGTCTATTTTCTGCTCTGTTTAAAGATGGGAGTTATTCGCTGGTTCAAGAGCTCATCGCTTTGTTCTCAGAAGTCTTTGCAAAAGAGGAGGTTCCGTAATCCTGGGATAAGTCGATAGTCGTCACTATCTTCAAAAATGGCCGGCGCACAAACTACTCTAATTATAAGGGAATAAGTTTGGTTCCCGTCGTTTACAAGATTATGGTATCCATCATTCTTCGCAGGGTATCCCTAACGCGTGATTCACTACAGCGAGAAGAACAGGCTGTGTTCCACCGTGGTCACGGCTGCGTCGATCAGATTTTCACACTCGGCCAAATTATCGAGCTTCACCATGTCTATCAAAAGCCAACGATTGTTGCGTTCCTGAATATCCGTGCTGCCTTCAATTCGGTCGACAGGGCTGCATTGTGGCACTGTCTGTTGAGGAATGGCATTCCCGGGAAGTTCGTTTCCGTACTGCGTGTTCTGTATACTCTGACCTCGGGTAGAGTAAGGGTTTATGGCAAGCTTTCGCCTTTTTTTTGTCACCAGTGGGGTTCGACAAGGATGCTCTATCTCTCCATCCCTCTTCATTTTTGCCATTGTGGATATCCCCTAAAATGCTCTAGAAGACATGTTGAACGCTGCCGTTGAGCTTCTCCCAGTTAGTCGAGTGGCTGATCTAGATTACGCTGGTGATATCGTCTTGTTGGGTGATGGTCTGCGGGCTGTTCAAGTTGTACTTAACCGCCTGAGGATTAGAGCGTCGAAGTATGGCATGAACATTACACTATGCAAGTGCAAAGCGCTTTTTCAAGACGCATACGCCCCTACCTGCACTCACCATGGATGATAAGATATCGGAAGTTGGAGAGTTTTGTCTACCTGGGAAGCTGCGTCCTTGCTGGTGCGGCCGTTTGAAACGAGATGTCGATGCACATCTCAAGTGCTCGTCTCACCTTCTCAAGGATGAGGCATTTACGGCGCCGCCATGGCATCCATCTCTCCATCAAAGATCGGGTTTATAGTGTGACCGTCCGCGCTGCACTGTTGTACACTTGCGAGACTTGGCCTGCTAGTACCGATGACCTGCGCCAGCTGTCTGTCTTCAAGAACCGTTGCTTGCGGTGAATCACCCGTGTGTGGTGGCTACACCACGTAACCAAAATTGAAGTCAGATAGCATGTTTTGGGTGAAAGCAGCCACTCCCTTGAGGCGCTTGCGTTGTTGCGCCAACTACGATGGCTTGGACACATACTGCCTATGCCCGTTCAGCGTCTTCTGCGTCGTACCTTGTTGGTCGTCGCTGGACAGGGCTGAAGGAGACGGTGTGATGGACAGCTTACAAGTTGGAGAAGCAGGATGAAGAAACGGACAATACAGCTTGCCTCGATTGGTTATTCTCGATTCCCTGGATGAGGTCCCAAAGAAACTGAGTGCCTCTGGATGGAAACCTTGGAAGTCATGGCTCGCAACCGAACTCAGTGGCGGTCGTGCATCTCTGCTTGTTGCGTTGATTCCTCTTCCCTCCCCAATATATCGCTTTCCTAAACTATGGACGGCTACTGGAGGGATTGTAGTTGCTCGGCTATCAATACACCACGAAATCAGCATCATTTATACACCAATAGAGCCAAATACCTTTTAGGTGGATTGTAGAAGAGCGTCAAGAGTGGTCGCTGTGAGCCCTGTATATACAACGCATTGGTATGTGCGACAAACGTGTTGCGTAAAGCTGTGTGGATCACAGTGAATTCTATTGGCCAAACAGTTGCTGTGGACTACCCATTGGCAACAATTCACGCAGGAACCATACCGTTACTGGCATTGGTCTCACGCTCTGGCTTGGTCCAGGTAATCAGCAGTTTACACCTCTCCAACCACCCCCATAACTTATTGTGGTTAAATGGTCATTGTTACTGTACACGACTTGCCCTTGATTTACTTACTAAATCGGGTACCTTGGCCTTTACTCCGAGTCCCTCAAACTGTACGGCCGTTTCATCCTTTCGGGAATTGTCAGCAATGCGCATTCCATCTGGCGCTTGTGGGGCTAGAACTCGCAACCTGACTGTTACTGGTTCGGGGTGATGACCACAGCTATGTGGGACGGTGACGATCAGCATAAGTTATTAGATTGGTATATCACAATAACTTAGCCACTTTAGTGGTAACGATCCCCAATAGCACAGTGGTCTTCACCACCAACCGGTAACAGTCGGGATGCCGGTTCCAAACCTCAAGGACCAGATGGAATGCGCACTGCTGACAATTCGCGAAAGATGAAACAACCGTACAGTGCTCTTTCGGAGGTGTGATGACTATCTGAATCCAGATGTGCTTAACCTCTAAACTACTCAACTTCACCACAACTCCCTTATAAGATCTCTGAACGGCTGCTGCGTAGTGTCTCTTGGTGTGCAGACTGTACACCTATGCAAACTATTGCTGCCATCTTTCAACTTGTGCACACACACACATTGATGCGTCGTCACTAATTTTCCTCCACTTTGTTCATATGTGCTGTCCTGACGTACACATTACTAGAGTTGGTATGTTGAAATGCAAAACACGGCTACCAACGCGACCAGAAACCAGCAGATTGGGACCACTCTATGTTGCCCACTGTCTAAGGCAATTAATCCGGGTCTCGTTGCTATCTTATCTTTTTCATTATTTCCATGTGTTCTCACAGGAGCTCCGAGACGCCGTGGAGTCAACCAGGGTGTTTGTGCGTTGGTGCCGAGGTACTTGCAAGATCGCCCCTGCAGTGAAATTGGGTGACGGCGACAATTCACACGTGTTTACTTTCTACGAAGACATCATTAGGTCGAACGATGTTCTGAGCCTAGTGAGTCAGATTGCCAAAGTATATGCGAATATGGTCGATCGAGTGAAGCGCTACCTAGATGGCTGGAGGAAGCACAAAAGCAAATTTATCCCTAATAAGGTGAGTCGATAGATTCGCGCAAACTGTGAAAATAACAATATATGTCTGGGCAGTCTTAAACTCGTGAATTTGTCATTCGCACTAAATGTTATTTGTACAGTATTGATTACACTGTTGTCCCATGGGTTTACGCCGCAGCTCGCTCAGGTGGAGCGCTGGATGAGCAAAGGCCGGAGTGTGATGGAAGTGCACGGGAGAATACTTGAGCAAGAGGACAAACTGGTCGAGTTGACGGACATTTCTACGGAACGTACCGTGGGCTGCATTCAACTCCGACTGACTCAACTCATCGGCAATATTCACGAACATCGGAAAAAATGGACCCAGACGTATTGTCATTTTTTGCACATCTCCAGTCAAGAGCTTGTCACCAGTTTACAGACCCAACTCAAGGTATGCACTCATCTTCTCCTCATCAAGTTTCAATACCGCCACCTCCTTTAAATCTATTTTTCAACATACCTAAATTGCGAAAATTGACAAAAATTATTCGCCACACCTTATTTATGCTTCCTGATCTTGATCTTTGGTCCCGATTTGCACTGTTGCTGGGTATTGGAATAACTAGTAGAATGGCTGGATTGAAACTCCAAAGGAGTTGTTGTATTTGGGCATTGCCATCAGCATGCGGACCAGCAAGTGCCCCAGTACGATGTAGATAGGGTGCATCCCTGGCCATCCTGAGATCCATCTTATTTCAACTTGTACCAAAGTATACTGACCCCGCACTCCAAATGGCACTAGACCCGGTGCATGTAACTGTAGAGCTATTCTGCTGTATGTTGCCTTGGACTGTTAGGCAGGGAGTTCGGATACTTAAACTTCTATATGTTCCGTCAAATACTCAGCGCTTATGTTCGTCTCCACGTCACGCACACATTTCATGCATGGTAATGCACGATAACATTATCCCGGAGATTCCACAATGTTGGGCTCCCAAACGCGTCACTGTAATGCGCAAGGTTCCATGCAGGCAGATGCCGAAATCCATGGGAGCATTTACTGGGTGGTATAGCCGATTATGAGGCAATCAAACAAGGCATTACTAGATCCTGCAAATCACATGTTCCGCTCTTTAATGAAGGTCAGTGATAATAAAAATCTGAGGCCATTTCCTGAAAGTGTCAACGCAGCACAGTCGTCTAGTATGCTGTAGAAATACCCCTTACATTCCGTCTATTCGCTTCATGGCGTGTATTCACCAACTCAGTCATCCCTTCATTGTTAATAGGTATAGTCAAAACGCGGCTCGATTAATCACTTAACCCTATAATTTCACCATTTACCTTTACCTTGTTGTTCCACTACCGGGACGAAGGTTGCGGCTTCTCTGACCGTCACCACTTTATTCGATAAAGCAACGAAGGGAGCAGAACTGTTACCGCACAAACGAGGAACAGAAACAGTTGCCTCTATCACCATCAAATTTAAAAGTGATTTTCCATTGTTAGGTTTATGAAAACTTACCAACCAGCCAGATGGGACTTGAAAAACACCTGCCCCTTAACGTAAATAAATATGTGTTCCATTTTCATTGTGAGCCAACATGAGATGCTCCGGAGCTTAAAGGATCTAGCTAACCAAATCACAGCTTGAGCAGTGATATCTGCATCCATCGCGCAATCGGTGTGTATTACTTCGAAGCACAACATGATATTACCTGGTTCTCATTCTGCTGCTGCGTCCCCATAAAATCTATGAATCCTGGTGGATTCCACTCCCCGGACGTGAAGTTTAGTTGCTCACGCAAGCTTATGCCTCATATATATATATATATATATATATATATATATATATATATATATATATGAGGCTGATGTTGCATTCTTGATGCTTCTTCACCGCAGTTGGGCTAAACCAACTTACACTTAAACTAGGCCTTTTTAAGCTGGATAAATTTCATTCCGCTTTATTTGGTTTGTTCTGCCTCCCTGAATTATGTTCTATTAACTGGCCACGTTGCTTACACTAATTGCGCTTATCTTCGGTAAGTTTGTTGCGTTTGTAGCATTTTAAGTAACTTGTGTACATTGCTTACTTATCACGGATTTGTTGCTAACCAACTTAATTCATATGTTAATTTAGCGAAGAGTTATGCCACCGTATCTGGATGCATTATTGGATTTATTTTATTTCAGCTTGTCGTTTAAAGTGAATGGCTGTTGTTTGGTATCCCTGGTATGGTTGCGCTTGATGTGTACGTTGACAAGGTGCCTACCTGTCTATTACCCACTACATCATCCATACTGGCTCCAGGAGACAGTTGGTTGTTGCTGGAGGGGACGGGGTGCACGGTTCTTGTGGCCGTGCTAGGCTCAAAGAGCGGTTCCATGCACTCAGTGTGGAGCGGACTACGGTCCAGCCACCGCCTTGTGTGCGCTTGATTCCCAAATACAGTGTGCTTGTGTTTGCCTGTGAAGGAGTGTGGGCCGGCTCCGTTGATGAAACGTGGTTCCCATCCGCATGCCTGCCGGTCTTATTCCTTCGGGTTTACACTGGATATGGGGTATGTGGTTGGAGCTGTGGGTGGTGCAGCGCAAGCCATCCATGGTCCCTCTGTAGGCGCAGGCGTCCTGTGGCTTGCCACAGTGACAGGCAAATCCGAAACCGGATGCCGCCAACCATATATATATATATATATATATATATATATATATATATATATATATATATATATATATATATATATATATATATATATATATATATATATATATATATATATATATATATATATATATATATATATATATATATGGATTAGGTAGTGCGTAATAGACAGGTGGGCGCCTTGTCAACATGCACATCAAGCGCAGCCACACCGGGGATATCAAACAACAGCCAATCACTTGAGAGAGAGTGAGAGAGACAAAGAAAATAACTCGATTAATGCATAAGGAAACGGTGACATAAACCTTAAGTTAATGAGCATTTGAAATAAGTGGTTTATAAACAAATCCGATAAGTTCACGAGGTCAGAAAGTACACTTTACGGAAATGTCACGAACACAAAATGTTATGGAAATCGAATACCAAGACGTGACCAAGGCGTTCGTGGCCGAGTGCGACACCTGGATGAGGGCATCCCCACTAGGTAGGTGCAGTTCAGGACATTTCAGGAGGAATCGCTGCGTACAACCTCCTTTGTGTACAGGGAAAATCTCGTTACATATTACTACGTTAGGCGAAAAATTCAGGTTTCTTGGAAAACACTGTAAGGTTGTCTAGAAGGCCTATGGTTGGAGATTTGGTACCGAAGCCAACTTCCTCTTCATTTTTCAGCAGACGTGATGTATCAGTCGCAGGTACTAGGCTAATATCAGTTGAAACGAGAAACGGAAACAAAATGGTTGTGGTAGGCGGAAAGATTTGTCCTCCAAATCGGGTAAAATAGCCGCTGAGTAGGTGGGCTATAGAGATCTCAAAATAACAAATCCAGGTTTACACATCCGTTGTTATTGTTGTTGTGTTGTTGTTGTTGTTGTTGTTGTTGTTGTTGTTGTTGTTGTTGTTGTTGTTGTTGTTGTTGTTGTTGTTGTTGTTGTTGTTGTTTGTTGTTGTCAAGAAACCCTATCCGTATGGATTTGATTCGGTTGTCCATCGGTGACTGCGTCAATGCATGGGGTGGATCAATACGTCTTGTGTACACCTAGAATTATGGTAGGTAAACTGATGAAGATCACACGTACGAGTTTCAGTCAGCGTCCTTCCAATAACAATTTTAACGACGATATTCATATTGACTGAAACGTAAGCAGTAGGCCGGTATTTGTCCGAACTTTTCGTCAGCACTGGTGTGACGCCAGTATCTCTCCGACAATCAACATTTTAGTGCTTTTTCATCCAAAGAGTGGATAAAGCGGCGGGACGCTCAGCCAAGAAATCAGCTCATTACTTGTGGTTAACGGGAGATAGTCCTTCAGGATCACTTACCACGCTGCAGCGTAGCTGCGGTATTCTATTCTTCATAGTTTCGCTATCGGCGACGGATAATGAGTTTGTATACCATTGTAAGTGGGGTGGGTTGAAGCTAGAGTTAGTATTGAAGCAAAAAGTTATGGTTTAAGTTCAAGTCTGGATTCGGCAATTACCGAGAGACTCCATTTCTTTACTTCAACATCCGATAGGGCTCTCGACATGTTTTAATTCCGAATATGGTCTAAACGTATGCAAGGTTAAGACGGTTAGAGATTTCACTGAAGCATGGCCTATATGTTGAACGTATTATTTTTGAGTCTAAGCAACCGTTCGAGATATGGAGCTAACAACGTATCCACACATAGGAAAATAGTCTCTGGTTGACTGCATGTGTCAAAACGTAATTTCCGATGGCTCAACAACTGAGCACAGTACGTAACTACATTTGTGTCAAATGATGGAGGCGACTATTTCTCGTTGAGGTGAAGATAAGCATTGCCTTCATAAGAACTGTATTTTAAAAAAGTTCAAAATAGCAAGAAATCAACACATACCAATAACTGATTGTAGGATCATTTCGAAGTACACTTTGAGTGGATGGATTGAAACATGCAATCTCTTTATGGAGCGCGATTCCCATTGATCATTCGATCACTAGGACCGTAGCTGAAGCAGGTGAACATTGAATGTTGCCTGTATGAAAACACTTCATGGCACAACGCGTTTCAACATTGTTTTATCTTATCGGGTGGAGAAGGTCTGCATAGTGTCATACTTCCTTCCTGTTTCGTGCAGACTTTCCCCCATGGTCAGAAGTATGTGACTTTCACTGGTATAGTGTTTCCAACGTTTTACTCCTGCGAAATTTCCCTTTAAAACGTTAAAGTTCCGTTTATTGGTTTACTTTTCGTCGTTACTAACTACTCCAATGACTTGTGGCCTGTCATGGTCAAGTAATTGTTTTTCTTCCATCCTACATAGCGCTGGTCCGATAAGCTCACTGTGGATCCGAGCAACGCGGATGAGATAAAGGAAGTGCTTCAGACTGCACGTGACATAAATTTGTCTAGCGTCGATGTCGAATTACAGCTGAGAGATATATTCGAACGTTATCACGTTCTTCAATTTCATCACTTTCCATTGACCGAATCGGAACAGTCCGTTGTGAACGACATTGCCAACATTTGGACCAGCATACAAGAAGCGACTGTGAATAAAACAACTTCGCTGGCCCCCATCAAACGGAAATTCCGGAGGCTAACAAGACAACAGACTATCACATTTATAAGTGAAGTGGACCAATTTGTCGAGTGGTTCACAAAAGAGGGTCCGGGTACTAAAACTGACGATCTTGATGAAGGAGCCAGTTTAATGAAGGTAAGTACTACACTTCGCTTTGTTCATCTTTGACTAAAATCACACGCAACTACTAAGCAGTTTCCTTTCGTTTTCATTGCAGGAAACCACTGATGAACTGTCCGCACTCGAGACACGGCGACAGGGACTAGCCGCTGCTGAAAAACTGTTTGACCTTCCCGTAACCTCTTATCCCCAACTCACGCAAATAAATAGCGAAATACAAAATCTTTGGAAATTGTTCACTCTGTATGGTGAGCATAAGGTAAGCTCCTCGTACACTGGCTAGTTAAACGATTTATCCCAACAGCAGGCCCGTCGGGAATGGGCCGAGACCTTATGGCGACAACTGGACATCCAGCGGCTCCAAAATGGTGTTGAATGTCATCTGAAATCGCTACGCCAAATGCCGAAAACGGTTCGCACGCACCCAATTGGACGAGCCTTGTACGAATATATGCGATCGTTTCGGGACTCACTGCCCTTGATTTTGGACCTCAAGCACGAAGCTCTACGGAAGCGGTATGTTATTGTTACCGGATGCTTAATGTTCTTCTGGCCTGCGCCTGTATAACAGTATGATTGCCAAGCTCGAAACGCGGAATTTGGGAATTACTTACTCTTCCACTGGCATGAACAAATACGAGGCCAAGTATGCCAGCATAAAATAGACTGTATTGTCGAATTAACAGTGGCTGTACCGTTCGATAACTTAATCGAGTACCGTCGTGTTAGTTACTCGTTAAATCAGAAGGATCTCATTATGACCCTAATTCGTACCACACCTTGGATTAAGGACTTGAAAGTGAACAGCTAGTGTGCTGGAGTTCATATCACTTCAACCGATTCCTTGGCTAAGTGTCCGTCGCAGATGATATGGGGCAGATCCTCATCCCACTGCCTTTTGAGTCAGATTGCTGTGAAAATGATCGGAGTTGTGTGCTCGCGGGCAAAATGTTCACGGCCTGAGCAACCGCAGGGAACGGTCGTCAAAGCCTTTACTCTCGTTTTGCCCTCCATACGTTAAATTCCATGCTCCGTTAATCTACGAGAGTCTAACTCTGGCTTAGTCGGTTTTCGCTCTTGCATAAATCATGCGATGTTGTGAGCTTGGGCTAACAATACACACTGGATCTTCCAGCTACCGCCAACGGAGTCATTTGGGCCAGCAGGAAATGTTCACCTTGCATCTGCACTTCAGTGCTGAAGTGCGCTGTTAGGGAGGCACGCATATGCGGTAGTGTTATTCTACTTATGATACCGTAGCTTTCCAGGTAGTCCATCGATGCGTCGGCGATGATCACTTCCATGACCTTGGATGGCATAAGCAGGAGAGTTACCGGACTATAACTGGTAAGCTCAGATCGACTTCTGTCCTTGTGAATAGGGGTGATTATAACCCGTTTACACTTTGAAGGAACTATGTTCTCGTTCAGACAGAGTTGAAAGAATCCAGCTAGTTGTTTGGCTATGTGCATGGTTGTTATGTGAAGTGCTTTCGGGTGAATGTTATCCACTCCAGGGGAGCTGTGTGCGCGCAAGGATAGCAGCTTTTTTGGCATCAATTCTGTAGTGAATGTGACGCTGATTAAACCTGATGATGAAGTGGTCACAACAGAAGAGGCGTTAGCGCCAAATATTTTTGGAAGATAGGTAAGTATTGGGCCTGTAAGGAGTTGGCCTCCTCTATCTCAGTAGTGCATACCCACCAACCATAGTGGTTGGAGGGATCCTATGCTGTACTTTACGAAGCCTATCGACATGTCTGTGAACCAAATTGTGGTTCGGACAGAATCGTTTCGTTGGTGCGTCAAATAGTCTTCACGAACCACTGCACACTGTAACTGCATTGTGCTAGTCGCTATCACATTATCTGAGTCGAGTTTCTGGAAACACACATGTGCGACCTCTTTTGGCCATAGATTTTCGTGTTCGGCTTCTCAAAAAGAACTTTAGTTTGAGAAGACGACGGGCGTCGAATGATCTTCAATAGGAATAACTTCCGAAATGACAAAAAGGTGACGCAGGATGCAAAAACCAGTGGTCCATGTAACTTTCTTACAGATGAACCAGCAAACTGCTGTCGTGGCGAAATGTCATTGGCTAGGCAGTAGCGTTCGATATGAGGCTAGCCAATCAGTTTCAGTGAAGAAGATTTATGAAAGTAGCTGCATTTATTTGTTAGGGGCTGCTGATCCTAGTACACAGTAATAAGAGACGCAGGGTGGGGTACGTACGGAAGTAAACCTAGTCCTTATATCTAGCGTAAATATTTGGTGCTGCAAAATTTCTGCACGATTTCACAGGTTTGGGAAGGACATGATCCAGGGACGAAACAAGGTTTCGCCTAACGAGCGTCCACTTTCTTGTTCCATTAAGAGTGACAACCCCAGCCCGCTACAACGAGACTGGATCTTAACGTAGTGCGACCGTTTGTGTACATCTTAACCCATTGGGCTATACTGGGTGGTGCCTCCGGGCCTGTTGAGAGCTACTCCTACTAGCTCGGACAATGGTTAGAGGTAAGAAAAACTCAGTCTCCTGGTCCTCCAGTTTTGGGGTTTGAAATGGGATGGCGTCCATTTTTGTACAACTAAATCATTGCCATCTCTTCATGACCTTGCGGGCAGGCTATTGTGTCAAAGGATTTGGAAGAGGACTCTAATCGTCCTACTATAGTCTGGACGCCCTGGCAGTATCTTAGCTCACATTCAACCATGACAATTTTCCCAAACTCTAACTACATCCTGCATAGACCGTCGCGCAGCTCAGCAACGGTCGCTTTATCTGCTGCAAACAGCAGGGTGGATAACCGAAAACATGCTACTGCTGGCGCCTCCCTTCTTTCTTTTTCACCTCTTTCTCCTACTGCCATCCCAATCCCCGTTACTAACTTTCCTTCTGTAGTTCCCAGTTTAATTGATAGCAACCGCAATGCCACCGGAGTAGAACCATTTGCGTCCACCTTCCCGCAACACCCACCGGAATTCTATCGGAAACAAGCTCTTATAAGGCGACGCGGTCCCGTTTCCCTGGCGGCGTCCAACGTTCGCACTCCAAGACAAATAAGTCAGCAAGCTGCACCCGCACGCACGTTGGACACACTGGGTATTGACGTTTGTTGTGTGTCCGAAACAAGGGTCAATGATCCTCACAGGGTTGTTGCATCTAACGCGCCTGGCTTGTCCTCTCGTTATGGGTTGCACGCATCTGGAGACGCTGATGCAGCACTCACTGGTCAAGCAGGTGCAGGTATCATTCTCAGCTCCAAAGCTGAGTCACCGTTGGTTGATTGGATTACGGTGAATAGCCGTTTGTGTGCAGCCTGTTTGATGACCGCAATAAAGGTTGATTCACGAAGTATTACAAGACGCTGTTTGCTTGTGATTTCCGTTTGTGCTCCCACCGACTGCAGTTCTGATGCTGCCAAGGACAAATTCCATCACGAACTGAACGCGCTACTACGCCGTGTCACTTGCTCAGATAGTATAGTACTTGCAGGGAAATGAGCGCACAAGTAGGGCATCTAAACTCTTCTGAAGCTCAGCTGGGTGATAATTGTGGGCTTAACTCCTAACGGACTGAAAACGGTGAACGTCCGCTGCAACTGTGTGCGGAGCACCAGTTGTTTCTTAGTAGCATTGCTTTTAGACACAGTGGGCGCTGAAGTGCCACTTGGCGTTCTCCTGTAGCTGGCCAGCGATGGACCCAAATTGACCACATAGCCATAAGTTACAGATGGCGTGGTCCCATCCTGGATTGCCGCTCGTACTGGAGTACCTGTGCGACTCTGCTCATGCCTTGGTACGCTGTCGTTTCTCCATAAACTTTACCGGGAGGCGCACCAAGCGTCCCCTACGATTGGCAACGGAGAAATTGTCTCAGTCCTCGGTCAGGCAAGCTTATCAAGAAGCACTACATACCGAACCTCCGCTGTCTTGTCTTAATGACACTGAGCTTCAGTGGAATAGGATTTCGGCCGCGATGCATGACGCAGGAGCATCTGCTTGTGACACTATCAATGCTTACCGCACCAGTCACTGGATATCCGAGAGGTCGGTGAACCTGTTGCAATCTAGAAGACACCTTCCGGCTGACGAAACGGGCTATTAGGCGTAAACTAAAGCAGAGCCTACCTGCTGACAAGGAAACCTGATGGACCAGTAGGGCTCAAGAAATGGAGGAGGCAGGAGCTAAAGGCAATTACCGCAAGCTCTCCCAACTGACCAACACCACTGGTCCCGGAAAACCAGGCGTCAGTGAGACAATCAGAGACAGCACAGGTGCACTAATACACAATAAGGAGTGCTGTATGGCTCGTTGGGCGGAACACTTTCAAGATCAGTTCAGCTGGCCCCCTGCTCCCGTACCTCTTCCTAATCAGACGATGCTGAACGTGCCATGAGCGATTAGTTTAGAGGCTCCATCGAAGGCTGCGATTCGAAACTCGATCGCAGCCCTCAATCGTTTTTGTGCCGCTGGTGCGGATCCCCTTCCACCTGCACTATTAAAGGATGGAGGTGAGGTCCTCTGCAAAGCATTGAGCTCGCTATTCGAACGGATCTGGAAGGAAGAGAGTGTCCTGGCCAACTGGAGCGAATCGATTTCAATAGCGTTATACAAGAAGGGCAGTCGCACCGACTGTGCTAACCACAGGGATTTTTTAGCCTAATACCAGTTGTGACAAAAGTATTGGTCTCGATTCTCCTCCGTTGCCTCACTTTAGAACGGGGATCTCTGATTAGGGAAGAACAAACAGGTTTCCGCTTTGGACATGGCTGTATAGACTATATCTTCACTATGTAGCAGGTGCTAGAGCACCGCCACACACCGCAAACCGACACTAGCGGTGTTCCTCGATTTCAAGATTGTGTTAGATTCAGTCAATCGATCGATTCTGTTCCAAATACTTGCGCGGAAAGGTGTTTCCACGAAATATGTGAACATCCTACGTGTTCTATACTCAGACACTACAGGCCGCGTCAGGGTCTGTGGTGACTTGCCGTATAGCTTTCAGACAGCAATTGGCGTTCGCCAGGTTGTCCGATTTCCCCGATTTTGTTCAGTTTCGTTGTGGACTGCATTATAGAGTGTTCCCTTGCGGAGTCTCACGATGTACACGTTCTGGGCCTGCCTGGTGAACAGATGGTTGATCTTAATTATACGGACGTTATGGTCTTGTTTTTGACGATGTCGGGGTGGCCCAGTCAACCCTGAATATCCTGTCTAGACTGGTCCTATTATTTGGTATGCGCTTCGCGCTTTTAAAGTGCAAAGTGTTGCTACAGGACTACCAGCCAGTTGCTAACCCCTTGACCATTGATAACGAAGATCTCGAGCTTGTTGATCAGCAACTGCATCAGTAACGAAGGGGCATAGAAACTGAAGTCAGTTCACATATAGCAAAAGTGCCTTCTCGAACCTGCGGCAGCATTGGCGACAGAAGGGAGTTTCCCTACATCTGAAAGTCCGTGTATACAAGACCACAGTGAGGGCCGTCCAGCTTTATGGAAATGAAACGGCTTCTTCGGTCTGAAGATCTGAGGCACCTTCAAGTCTTTGATCATGGTTTAATGCGAAGCATTACTGATGTTGCATGGCAACAGCGTGTCCGCAACAATGATGTGCGTAGGCGAGTACTAGGTGATGATAATCATGCTAGCTCCCTAGAACAACAGCTAGCACTGAATAAGTTACATTGGCTTGAACACGTGTTACGCATGCCTGATCACCGTTTACCTAGGAGGGTCTTGTTTAGTCTGCCAAGTGTAGGGTGGCGCAAGGCTCGAGGTGGACAGAAGTTGACTTGGCAGCGGGAAATGAAGTCACTGACGACCAAACTCGGTGTCGTTGGTCCGTCTCACCTTCCGGGCTGGAGTCCACGTGACTCGCCTTGTGTTTGTCTCGAGACTTTACAAGACAGTGGCGCGTCTGCTGCCGTCTCCTAATCAGATTCCTCTTTTAAAGTGTGTTTGGTGCTGAGTTATCTGCGGGGTAATGTCTGCTTATGAAGCGTGGCAGTGAAAGCCGCAAGGAAGCTGTCTCGCCGGTGCCGCCTTATCTTTGCACGGCAGCCAGCTGTTTGTGACGGTTCGTTTTTAACACAAAGTGTAGGCAACTTGACCCTGAACGTTTGCTTAGAGCATTAAGGTTTTCAGTTAAGTCCCCCTTCCCTCCCTTTTATTATTTTTATTCCTTAGGTCATTATGGTTGTATGACCGCGAAGCATCAGATCAAATGCCTGATGTACTGCTGTTGCTGACTGCCTGAACAGTCAGCACCGACTTCAAAGTAGGTCGGTACGAACAAATTAACACACCATCAGTGCCCAGCAAGACTTTGTGCCAATAAAAGCCTGCCGTGAAAACGTATGAATAACCTCCGAAAAGTGCAGCTTGGCATTCGCCCACTCAGCTGAGTTGACAGAAGTACTCATAACACAAATGATGTGCCAACACTCTACAGCTACGACATGGTTCATTATTCCTACATATCAGTAGCTCGTGTCACATACTTGTCGCAGTCCCTCAAACGCTAGCTTTGATGGTGTTAATTTGTTTTCACCGACCTACTATCTAATCGGTCCTGGGGGTTGTTTCGATCAATAGAGTTATCACCTCCAGTTCAACAAGCGTATTGAAGAAGCTGCCATCGTTACGCACCCGTAGTTCTCCCATAGTTCACCCGAAAGCGCTGCGGGTGATCCCTGCGAGGCTAGCCGAACCATTATTAGGATTCTTTCGGATGTTTGGGTGAACAGCAGATCTGACTTACGTCCCATTTGCGCCCACTTTATCCGTTTTCAAAAACAACTGGACGGTGGTTCCCACCAGTCGTATAACGTGACGGGACTTCCTGATAGACACTGTGCTCAGTAACCATCACGAAATTGGCGTAGGCGAAGTTTCATGTATATTAACTATGATACCAGTTTACCTTACGGGCAACCGTTTCCTTGAAATTTTGTTTCACGTACAGCAGCTTACCACACTTGTGAAGCCATGGCTTTTTTACTCGTATTATTATACAGTTGTTCCATTTTTCCACCGCTCTGGAAGTGATTCACTGGGAGCATTGTGTTTCGTAGGAAGTAGAGAGAAAAGATTGAGGTTTGCCAGTTGCATGTTGGTATCTGTAGATCGCAGGGAATGGGTGCGGCTAAACTGGGCATAATCGGGTGTTACTTGGTGACCATAAAATGCAATCTCCGGAAATCCGATGGTGTTAGTAACAATGGACCTGAAGATGAAAACCAAGCAACTCTCCACTTTTCACTTTTTCCTTTTTTACTATTTCCGCTGCTTCCGGTTACACGTTAGATCTCCAAGCGTTTCTAGCCGTCGGTATTCCTAGCCCTTGGATTTCCAGCCAGGAGGCCGCATGAATCCGACAGTGACTAAAGGTGATGCCATCGGATTTATGTGTTATAGCGAAGTGGAAGCCTGACGACCATGCAGTAGCTCCCAGTCTGAACTCGTATTAGCGATTGGATTGTGGGGTTAGAGATGCTCAGATGACTGTGTGTGAAACATAACCGAGCGATCTCAACTGACGCATCAAAACGACGAGCCAGCCGAAAGGGCTACCTACTTTCCCCAATCGTCGAGATCTGACTTCATCACCACATTCTCAATGTTGCCACCACATATGAGTGCTCCTCTCCAAAACACCCGTTATTGAAGACCAGAAACCAGTGCATATTATTCGACACGCGCTTCCATACAACATCGCTCGAACTGGGGCACTGTAAACCTGGTCTTTTACCTGGCGGGAAAAAGAGAGGATCCGGCAAATCTCCAAATGGCCACAATGACAAACTGAGACAACGGTTCAATATCAAAGAAAAGCAAATGTTCAACGATTTTTCCACAAAGTGGAACACTGATTTTGTCTTCAAGGTGCACTACCAAGGTACAAAGAATGTGCATGGAACACGAATAGTTGTGGTAATTGAAAATGATGCACACGAAATGGGAACGAGCGCACTAGGTTTTACTTTCAATATGTTGACTGCTTTGTCCCGATTATTGGACTCGTCAGTTAGGTGGGGTTGTAAATGAGAGGGCCCAGTAGTTGCACTAGGGAATCACTTACTGGGGATAGGTAGACCAGCGAACCAAAAAGATGTATCAAACACGTAAGCTGCGGACGCAGTGAAGAAAGGTAGACTAAATACAACTAGACACTGATAAGAGCAGCTTGGTACAGAGCCAGGAATAAGAGGAGTCTATGTGCCAGTTTACAGTTGCCGGATCAAGCACATACAGAGCGATGAATAAACAAACGCCGTGCTGTTAGGGCACTTCAGGCAACATGCAGCCGCGTAACAACTACTTTTGTCGCCCGGGTCTGTGGTAAAATTTTCGCCCGAACTGAGGGCAGAATGGGTGCTTGAAGTCCACAACCGGTTCAGCATAATGTGCACACTAGTTTCCGATGAAATGGATGATCGTTAGGGACATTGCGTTAAATCTGGTGAAAGTGACCACAATGGGACAAGTAAGGGGATTGCTGGGAAGAACGTTTGCACAGGTGTGACACATGGCACAAATGTGTTGTTGGTCATACAGAGTAACATTAAAATCTTCAACCCTCAGCTTATCCGGATATTTTGCCCTTTATATTTGGTATCGAAAAATCGACGGTACTAAAAATGCCACCCCCTGTCACATACCGCCTGGGGCGGACCGCCCTCCCATGGTGCGCCACTGGCAACTTGTTTTGCTGGGTCAGTATGTCGTCTAGATTCCCAGATGAACCCAGCATGTCCTTTAACGCTACAGAATATGGCCCGAATTCTATCCGCTGTCTCTCGCCTATAAATTATCATAACATCACATACTGGCTAGACTTAAGTCTATTCAGATATTACCACTTCATTCAGGTAGTTACGAAGTTTGCTCTTTGTGTCTCAGCGCTTCCTACAGATATTTAAGTGCTCCCCGTTTAATTCTCTCTTTACCGATTGGGTTTCTGCACAACGGACTGTGGTAATTCTTGCAGCAGTCCAAAAACTTCAGATGCGAACATGTCAAGGACACAGAGGGCTGAGTCTGTGAAGGAAGCACATGTGATAGTGCCCCTTTATGTCAGCACAGCGGGTGAACCGCAAAATTACTGCGGATTACAAAAAGAAGATCGAACTGTACATTCAGGGGGTAGGCCACGGGAGACTTGTCATAGGGGAAGCGACAGAGTGATGGTTTTTGTTGTTGCTTTTATGATGTATGGAAAACCAATAAAATGATTCAACAGAAATGCGTTTTCTCTTCCATGCTGAGTAGATGTTGCAAGCAACATGAGCATGCTTTCTCGGTCAGATCATTTTACAAACAACCGTGGATGTATCACTATTGAAACTGTGTCTTCGTTGAACTGAGATATCACACTATATTTCCGGTCTGTTTACACCCCTCTTTCCAAACCCACCCATTACAAGGCACTGGGACGAGTTGATGAAACAGACCGGTCAGGCGTTCGATAGCGACTCGAGTACATTTACGCTCGCCAACGTTTTCGCCATGGAATTGTATCGCTATCGTGAACAAATATCCCAAATCCTCTCGGTTGCTATCAAAGAAATGAATATCGAGAAGGTAAGTGGCCTGAGTCATTGGACCCGATGACGCTGTGAACAGATTCCAAGTACGCGTGAGCGGACGTAACAGTATGAGTCCACTGATTCTTCCACTCGTTTTTCTAGACAGAAGTAGTGTATGACGCCATTGCTATTCGGCAATGCGTGTAACTTGTTGAAACCTGTGAATTGCAACCAGGTTGATGATTACAAATGCTTCCGCAGCTTAGAATGACGCTGTCACAATCGCGAGTTACTTTGCAGACATGTCGGCCTAACAGCATGTAGAATGAACATTACATATCAGCCTCACAAATCCTTTGAGGCCCGTAAGCTGTTCTAAGCGCGGACAGATGGTGTAGCTCGTCACCCTGTACTGTCAATCCAAATATTCGTAGCATAGATGGAAACTTACACTACTACTATCTAGAGAACTTTGCGCCCATTCAGTTTTCCACAGCTGAATAAGGCACAAGCGCGTGACGATTTTCCACACTCATTTCACCTTGCGCAGAAGTCCGGAGGAGTGCAGTTAACGCACGCACACACGCACACACACGCACACATACGCTTACTCCTCTCAATCTCTCGAACTGACTTCTCCTGCGTCTCACTCCACTCCTCCACTCAGACCGATGTGGCTTGATCCATGAGTCACATTTGATAGATTTACGCTGAACAGAGCGCATGTCTATCCAGCTTACAAGTTTGAAGTATGTTGAGGATGAGCACAAGTTCCGATCTGATTGCTATCCTGCATGCGCACCCTGTGACTTTTAGTGCTGTAGCACAATCAGCACGCTTTTCGGAGTCTGAAGAGGAGAAGCTAGATCGTAAACTAAGCTACTGAACTTCGAGACTATCACTAATTAACAGAGGACCTATTATGGACTGGCTAATCGGCTGGTACTTGTGCATTCGTTATGGATCCTAACGCTGCGGCATACAATGTGCTACTTTGTTGGATAGTCCACCGTTGCTGCCGTTCGCCACAACGCACTCCACCGCTCACCATGCGATGCCCTCAGGATGGCCCCTTAACCAGCTAATTGTTGAGCTGTACCATATCACTAAGGCGATCCCTTCGTACATGAAAAATATGGTCGTTGTGGCTGAAGTCTGATGCTGAGACAGGGTTTCGAAATGATGCTTCTGACTCTCAGCTTTCCGGATTACTTATGGTTGTAATGTCTTGTTCCAAAGAACTGGCCCATATTTACCGTGAAAACTGAAGTATCAGTTTAATCACTATTCTAGACATAGTGCATGAAAGAGTTATTTATGAGGCCTACTCTTTAGGTAATCGGCATGTAGGTTACATGAATTAGAGGTGCCAAGCTCTGTCAGGCACAATTGCATTCTCTTCAGATGCAAGCATATCTCTTTATACTCGTACTGTAGCAGTGACAGGGCGTAGCCTCAGCCATGCAGCTTCAATTTTGGCATAGATTTCTTCGTGATGACTTACGTAATAGTCGCCACGGTTAGCTATTACTTAGATTCTTACGGACGACTACGGTAGGATCAAGGCTGGGATAAATGCGCAGTTACGTGTGTACTAATTATAGCTCGCCCTAACCTAGGTACCCCTAGAATGAACCTCGCATCATGTCAATTGGACATAAAGCACCAATGAGCGGACAGTCTCCCCCTCCCCCTCACATTCGTCGTGATCCTTCATGTAGAAACAGCAGAGTGAGCAAACTCGGTGTTCAGGTAAGACTGTCTAGCTTGATGATCTGACGGGGTCTTCAAATTCGACCCTTGCTGTTCTCGTTGGGTTATTTTACACTACCGACTGCGGCTTCTAGATTTTATTTTTAACTAAAGCAATTAGTTATTTCTGATTGGGTCTCAAGGTCACTGTTGTCCTACTCCGTCAACCATCTGAAAATGTTACGTGTTTCTGCCTTAAATCCGTGCCTTATCGAATACAGTCATAAAGTCAGGAATACCAAACGAAATAGGAATAAATGTCTTGGAAAAAAGCGAAAGCATCGTGCTGGATCCCAAGTTGGCCTGTCGTTGTTCTGTAGACAAAGCGCAAGTCCCACCGATAGTTTCCAGTAATGTTCGCTCGCTTCTTGATAAAATCAATGATCTCAGTGCTCTTGTGCAGCGAAATGAGTAATTTAATACAGGAATGATTCTGTTACAAGAAACCTGGTTGCATATTGATGTAGCAAATGGGGAATTCAACTAGATGGTCATTTTCCCATCAGCTCTGACCGCCCTGCGAAGCCCCAGTTTCGTGGTGGTGGCGTTTTAACTTTGTTAGTCAACATTGGGGCAAAGCAGCAATCATAATATTTACTTACGCAACGATTTCTATAAGCTGCCAATTAGTTGAATGCAGACCGAAGTTCCTAAGTGGCTTTCGATCAGCCATCGTTGGAAAAGTGCATATTGCTCTTCACACATGTGCATCGCAGTTAAAGCTTTTTGAGGACCAACTTTCTTCAACGCTACTGTTTACATTAGATTGTTCTATCTGTATTGTTGCTGGCGACTTCAATAGAAAGGATACAACATTTTTGAAGACACTTGGTTTGGTAGACCTAGTGACTGTTTCGACCAGACAAGATGCCCAGTTAAACGCTGTGTTCACAGATAAACGACAGTTGTTTGCCATACAAAAGCGGGCTCCTTTGAGCAGCACAGACCGCTGTACATTAAAGCTGTGTCCAGTCATATACAGTCATATACAGCAAGTCTACCTTTTACACGCTAACCGGACTTCCTTACAAGCTTATCAAACGGAGGAATTGCTCCTTGGAGAGTATCACGAGGCTCCAGACGATATTTTCTTTAACTGATTTTTCAGTCTTTAACGACGAGGACCTGTCGCTCGAATGTGGCCATCTTACGGACTACGTCAAATATTGCTCTGACATGTGTTGCCCTGTTGACACGATCTATTTAAGAGCAGATAGATTTTCATCACCACTACTAAAGCGACTTCGAAGAATGAAAGAATGGGTCTACAAGTGCAAGAATGCCACCCGTGTCAAAAGCCTAGCCACAGCAATTAAATCAGAGATAAAAAGACGAAACTATACCTCGAAACAGATTTAGGCAACCATAACTATCGCGATCTATGAAGGCGGTTCTGAAGTAAGTATGTTTGCAGCCAGAGCGGTGAAGTGGATGTGGATAAATTGAATTCGGTGTTTAGTTCCGCCTCACCAAGCCTTTCATCCTTGCCCTCCTTCATTAGCTGAACTCCAGCCGCGCCGTTCGATCAAAACAACATCCATAAGGAACTCAAAAGCTTAAAGGCAACCCAAGCTTGTGGTCCAGATGCTCTCTCATTATTAGCTTTGAAGGAGTGTGCTGATTCTCTCACACTGCCTTTAACAGATCACTTTAACAAATGTCTCACTACGGGTGGAGCACGGCCAGTATCACTCAAGTACCAAAAACTGGATCTCAAATGTATCGCCCAATTGAATGTACATTTTTACCGCTAAAAGCTTTCGAATGACTGTTAATTCCGCGAATTTGTGCAGCGGCTCCTGAAGACGAAATCTATCAGGATGCGTAAAGCCCAGCGCTCCACATTGGATGTAGTGGCATATCGTGTTCATTCTACTGCCACTGCATTAGATTAAAAATGTAAATCCATACGGACTTTCCTCCTGGATAATTCGAATGCCTTTGGAAGTCTGGATAGGTCAAGGTTGCTAAACCTGTTATCCGAAAACAGAGTTCACGCTGGTATGTGTACTCTGTTACGTGACTATCTTATAGATCGCACTCACTTCACCAAGTCGAACGGTAAGAAACCCTCTGTCCTCCGTGCCGACTGTGATGTTCTACAGGGAGCGGTCCTATCACCTTGTCTATTTTCCTTGTATGTTGAATATCTCTCATTCCAAACCACGTTTATAAGTTGTAAATAAGCTGATGATGTGCTGGGATGAATGTCCCTCACTAACCAGGATTTCTGATCACTTCAACGGGGTTGGAAGATCTGGTGGAATGGTCTTCATTCAGAGCTCTTACGCATAATGCTTCTAAATGCAGTGATGTAATATTTTCTTTTCAACGTGACGATAAGTGGCAGTCCTATTATAACGTCTGCCTGTAACTGAACGCACTCCGAACGGGAAGCAATGTGCGGGACGAGCTGCGTTGAAAAACGGACAAGCCTGAGTAACGGGAATCCAAAAGATCAATAGAGCAATAGACCAACCACATGAAAGGACATAGTCATGAATGGTGAGCGGTCTAGCTCTAAGCGACTCTCACGCGTCTGTCCAACACCATCACGTGAAGAGACAGTCACGCATGTCAAACTATCTAGGTGTGAGCCACTGTGAAACGCAAGCCCGTCTAAAACCTCCCTCCTTTAAACTGAACAGAATAGCACCCTACGTTCGATTGGTAGACTTTACGTCTTGGCGCACTGATTCGCGTTGAGTATATTCGATCTGTAGTTACGTTTTCTGTTTGGACGACACGCGCTTCAGACTAGGTAGATTGATACGATCCAGCAAAATGTCCAACATTAGTGAAGCTTCCTGTTTTTGGGACGTCCCTTGCACCTCAAAACGGGGTCTAATAGGGTTTACATGTCTAGTCCATATGATGGAATCCACTTATATTCTATGCAAAACACTTGTAATCCATTCAAAGACACGGCCAGGAATCCAGAATGATCTTCCGTCACGAAAATTCTCTAAATACACATTATCCCTAGGCACGAAATGTCGGCGGCGAGTTCCATGATGACGATGAAAAGCCAACACCCATTAACACAGCGCTCTTCTTCGTTGAGGTGGGTGTAATGATCTTCAGTGGTGGAGCTTACAATTATTATGTCATCTAAATAAGCCATGGCACATTGTAATCCGGATAGCATAGCGTACATCACTTGTTGAATTATCGCTGGAACACATGCTACTCAGAAATGTAACCGCCTGTAACGATACAAGCCTCGATGACTATTTATAGTGAGTAGTTATTTTCAGCGCTCCTCGACCACTACTTGCAACTATGCATCAGAAAGGTCAATTT